CTTAACTCTTCCCTGAGACTTCACTACCTCCACTTTTATTAAACTGTCTTTTCCCAGACTATCAATGAGCTCCCTCCCTATTCTGCCGTCTTGGAGCTCCGTATTTTCTCTTTCTTTTGTCTGATTTGTTTATTTCAAATGTCTTTAAGCTCTCTCTACATTCTCTTGTATCACATTGAGTTTCTTTACAATCATTATTTTGAATTCTTTATCTCACATTTAATACATTTCCTTCATTTTAGGATCCAAATCTAAAGAACTATTGTGTTCTTTTGGAGGTATCATGCTACTGTGCTTCTTCATGTTTCCTGTGTTTGTATATTGATAATGCATGTGCACATAGTGCACATGGTGTAGTAGTCACTTCTTTATGGAGTAGAATTTACTGGAAAAGTGTGCATGGTTTAAATGGAATGCAAGGCACCACTTTGCTTGTTGCATTGTCTTTGGTTCTAGCTGAACTCAGAAGTATTACTTTGAGTAATTACTTCTGAGTGATTACTTTTACTGTAATCCCTGTCAGCTGTGTCCGTAAGTGACACAGTCATATACGCTGCTGCACTTCATAGGGGTAGAGGCGTGACTTTGAGGTGAATGTGGGCTTCCTGGGATGTATATGTTCATTTCCCAGAGAGTTTGATATCAGTTACACTGGGGACTGTGATAGCCAATGCCTTTTTCTTGATGCTAGGGGGGAGGAGATGATTGTTCCCTTGTCCTACTGGAAATCCTAAATGATTCTGGGTCTGTGGCATCAAGCACTAGGGCTCTAGGACTGTGTGTTTTGGACAGGGCCTTCCTCAGTTCCTGTCAGGAGAAGGCAAAATGTGCTGGGGTTTATAATATCAACAGTCCTAGTCCCAGGACTGGTAGATGTGAACTGAACCCTGCTCAAGTCCTACAGCGTGACTACAAGTTATTTAGGTGATTTTTCACTGGCTGGTATGGGTAAACAGAGTTGGAATGTAGGCAAGTTCTTCCTTAGGTCCCACTGGGTAGATTCCAGTGGGTATGAGTCGTACTAATTCTTACAGTCCTGGTGTTGCTGGGTACAGATCTTCTATGGTGGGAACCAGTTTTTGGGGTATTGGTAGCCTTGTCTGATGAAGATTGATACAGATAGGGCACTCCAGACAAAATGTGTGGGTGTAAGTTACCCCAACAATTATCTTATCAACATCAAGATTCCTGGTTCTGCATGGCTTGGATGAACTTGCTCATAATTTTCACAAAGCATGCAAGGGTGGTGCTGGAATTTGTGCCTAGGGCTCCCCGTGTCATGAGCTAGGAAGTATGAATGGAACTTCCTTAGGTAGCAGTCTAGATTTTTTATAGGCTGCTGCTGGTACTAGCTCCAAGAAGTGAAGTGAAGGGAACTCCTCTGAATCACATAGAATGACCACGACTCTGGGACCAATGCCTCAAAACTCCCACATATGTGTGATGCAGTGGATCTACCCTCTAACATGCAAGTTGCTCTGACTCTGGCTTTGGTCACTTCTGGTAGCAGCAGAACAGAGATCAGCTGTGTGAGTCTGTACAGCCAACTGAATCAACGCTCTGCAAAATGTCAGAGGGGCAGGAGGCAGTGTGGCTTTCCTTCTTGGAGCCAAGCAATTGCTCAGGCCCAGCCAGCTCTCCAGGCTAGAGTTAAAGGCAGTGCAGTACTGTGGAATACTGCCTCAGATGAAGCTGCCAGTTAGGGAGAGCGTGGCAACTTTTTCCTACCTTGACTTAGATGGTGTCTTCCAGCAGGCAGCGCACTGCAGACTTGGCCAACTGTAAAAGCATTCTGTTCTCTTTCCTTTCTGTCCTACAGTTTCTGTTCTGTAACTTATCCACTGAAAATTTCTGTCAGCAAGTCCCCTGGAAACATGGTCCTTCTTTTGTTTTTCTCATATCTTTTTATGGCTGACTTCGTGTGCCTTCTGATTATTCAGTCGTCTTGCACCTCTAGTTCAATATTCTTCCTACAATGTTGGCATCTTGTCTTAAGTAGTGTTAATGTGATTATCTACCATTTCTGCATTGATTACAGATTATATTCGTTATCATCTGTTAAATTACTTGTCTGTTTACCTCCTGTATTCATTCATTTTCTATCTCTTCTTATACTAGTCTTTCACTTTGTTTATTTTCTAGCTTTATGTTGTAACATCAGTGAGAGTGGCTCCCTGTTGTTATCCTCCTTTGTGAAAGTCTTTTAGTTCTCATTAAAGTTGAATTTTAGAATAGTTTTGACAGACTTAAAGAAAAATATCTGTGTGAAGTGTTTTATTGAAATTGTATTATATGTGTTTGTTAATTTGGAAATGTTTGACATCCTTACAATATTTAGTTTCCTTCTAAGAGGTCATGAAATTTCTTTTCCTGTTTTCAAGTCTTTTATGTCTATCAATATCATTTTTTAGTCTTTTATGGTATGTTCCTCCTTCTAATCTCTTGCCAATACATTTATTTTGTTGGCATTATTTATACTCAGAATAGGACTATCATAGACATCTTTTATTCATTCCAAAAGATTCAAGAAAAGATAAAAATACTTAAGGATAGATTATTTCTTTCTGTGTTTAGTAGAGATCTCTAGGAAAAAATCAAACCATTTGTACACATATGTAGAAGACAATATTGCTGAATATAGTTTAATAATTCATTGCTTTCCTAAAGGATTTTATTTTCTGTATGTGTCAGTGATTTTTCATTTTTTAAATACAATCATATTGTGAAGTTAATAGAAGCATGAGAGAATTCTTAAAGAGGAATACAGCTTATCTCTGATAGTCACATGCTTAATGTAACTCCTTGATGTGGCAGTAATATATTCTTGCCAGGAGAAATGCCAAAATACTATTATTCATTCTTTTGACAAACATTTAAAGGGTGCCTTCTGCTATGTACCTGCTAATTCTACAGTGAGGTACTGGGGACAAAATGATGGGCCATACAAATTTGAATAGACTGTAGATGCCATTGGTGTTAAAGTTATATAGTCCAGTTGAGGAGACAAACACATATGTAATTATGGTGCGCTATATGATTTTTTTCTTAACAGGCTATGCAAAATGCTCTGTGATTATAATGAAGGGAAGTATTAGTTCTGAATAGGATAAAGCTTGTATATGAAGTGACTAAGATATGAAGTTCTAAGATTAAGTAGATATGTATTAGGAGTAAAAACATCACAAATAATATTGAAAACATAATATTGATATATTCATTTGCTCAATAAATACTCACTGAGAGCTACTATGTATACCAGGTACTTTTTTAGCTACTGGAGACATGAAAGTGCAAAAAAACAAAACAAAACAAAACAAAGAAAAGCACTGATAAAATCCAAACTCTCATTGAGTTCATTGATGGCTGTGGCTCATATTAAACAAATAATTATATATAATAACATTTCAAATAGTAGATATGTTCTGAAGAAAAATAAAACATGATAATGGAAAGACAGTTCTTGAGTGGGTGTGCATGTGGTGCATTATTTTAGACAGAATGGGAATAGAGGGCTGTCTAAATAAGGAACAATGCAGACAAAGATCAGAAGCAAGAGTATCAGTGGGGTGAAACAATAACAAATAAAAGGCTGATGCAGGAACAAACTTGGGGGCTTATTCAGAATACATGAAACAGATTAAAGTAACTTTTAGATACATGGCAAAGGCGTCAAACTAAATTGAGGACTGGATAATAAGGGCATTGTATAGCTCAACAAAGAGTTTTATTTTATTCTTTAATTAGTGGGAAGAAAAGTCGATTGAGATCATTGTTGGCAATATGAAAGATGGTTTAGACCAGGAAAAAGCTATAGATAAGAAATCCAACTATTAGAAGAATGCATACCATAGGCTAACATGGTCTCAGACCAATTTAGGACAATGATCAAGGGATAAGGGTTAAGGACTTGAGCTGTTATCCAGAAAAACCTTAGAAGAATGCAGCCTTCATGAGAGCAAGGATATTTATTTGTTTCTATTTTGTTCATAGCAATGTAGCCAAACAGTGAGAACATTGTCCATCACAAGATAGCTGCTCAATATCTCACTACTGGATTATTGTAAACCTTGATGGCTGACTAAAGGTTTTCAAGGGAAATTAATGTGAAGTATGTTTGAGGGAATAGTAAGGATGACAGAGTTTTCCTATTTGTATGACTGTTAAGGGAAGGACGAGTGAGAACAGACTGGGAATATGAAGGGGGGTAGGGAGGGAGAATTGTGCCTTATTATTTTGGGAGTTAAACTGATTGGAACTGATATCCAGTAATCTGCATACATTTTGTGACTAAATGTATGCTTCAAACACAGCTAGCTTCAAGATTTCTTTCAGCATAGGTAATGTTACACTTAAGCATCTGGATAAAGCTGTGATTTTCTGAGGTATATCTGGTGGAGTAGTGCAAAGGAACAGACCAGTAGACTTAAATGGCAAGCTAAGGAGATCAAAATCACTTCCATTTTTTGAGTGATTAGGTTATTGAGAAAGAGATATAGAACTTCCTTAAACTTTTATCTATTATTAATTCAAGAAATGCATAGCTATTGAAGGAGAGCCCCTGTAGATAGGCCAGGCTCCAACCTCAGGGACTCAAGAATTCACTTACACGTCAGAGTGAATGTAAGGAAGACTGTTTTTTGATGCTAAGCATGGAATGTGGGAACCTTCTACTCCAGTTTCCAAAAGCTTGGGGCTCCTATTGATCTCCCAACAAAGTACCTTTATTTAATGTTGGATTGATTAGAAAGAGATGATCTCAGAGAATAGTTTAGCATTTTCCATTCTGGGTTAACAATTCCTCTAGAAGAGAAACAAAATGTAAACCGAAAGTAATTAGATCTTTATAACCAACTTTACCTAAGTCTGTCTCAATCAGCCCTCTCTCTCCTTTGAGACAAAATCTTTTAGGGTTGCAGTTTTATAGTCAATAGTAATAAAGATAATTCTTGCTAAGGAGGGTCATTATTTTCTAAACTTACTTTAAACTTTGATCTTTACAGATATAAATGTGTGGATTCCCTTGGAGGCAGAGTAGTAGGGGAATTGGTATACCAGGAAGGACAGTTCATATTTAAGGCAGCAAACATCACACAACCAAGTCAACATTATGTCACTGGAATACCCATGAGACTTAACAGTCCAATTATCCAGACAATTTACTCTAACCAGAGCAGTAGGAATGCAATACCTCCTCAAATTCCTATGCAAATCCAAGGACTCCAAGGATTTCTCAAAATCCCCTCTAACAAGGTGCCTCCTAGTGTATGCAGCTTGAACTATCAATTGTCAAATGTGAGAAAAGACAATCGCCAAGATCTATTTGACGATAGCAAACAAACTGTCTCAAGCTGTAATGCATCACAGCTCGCTTGCCTAAAATCAGAAGATGAAGTGATGACGAATACGCCAATCGACTCCCATCCGATGACTAAAGAAATAGTATCACAGCCAAAAGAAGAGACTTGTAACAGATGGAAAAAATTTATAAGACCACATATACAGAGAAGAGTGCCGATTCGGAGAGCACCTCAAGCCGTTCCAGATCCAGTGCCTCAAAGGAAAAGGACAACCCCTATTAACCCTGCATATACAGTTCGAAAGTCACGTGTTTCCCATAGTGTGCACGCACGTCCATTTAGAGACAGGGTAATTCACTTACTGGCATTGAGAGACTACAAAAAATCTGAACTGCTCATCCGTCTCCAGAAAGACAGCACCCAAATAAATGACCGGGACTCTCTTGAAAAAATTCTACAAGAGGTAGCCCATTTGAATACCTCAAATCTTTCATATACCTTAAATGATGATGTTTTTAAAGAGATCCAAAAAGATTGGCCTGGTTACAATGACATAGACAGGCAGTCATTGGAGTTGGTGCTTTCCCTAAAAGAAGATCCATCGAAGAATGCTATTGGCAGTTCTAATTCAGAATCTTCTACACTTTCTACTACAGATGATGCATCATTTTCTGACAAACAGCTTTGCAATTCAGTTAGTGTTAGTACGTTAGTGAAAAAGAAAGTTAGAATATCTCACCTAACGACTATGGCACGCTCTACATCAAATACCCATTTGAATAAAACCAGTGGAAACTCTTCTATGAGCCTCCTGCCACTCGCTGCAGCTACTGACAATCCTGTCTCTCCACCATTGCCTGCAGCCCACTTTAACATTTCCAATACCACTCAGCTTGTTAATTCGGACGATGATTCTTGTAGCAGTGAAGGACAACCTGAGACTCAAGATCCGTATGTTGACAGTCTCTGTGAAAACAGCAGCACCTTTGAGAGCCAGCCGAAGGAGCATACTTCCTCTGAAATGGTATCTTCTGTTTCAACTCAAACACAGTATCCAAACTTCGTGGAGAAAAAGCATTCGAAATTGTATAAGTCCAAACATAAATCTGCAAAACACAAAGCAAAGAGACCAAAGCGTCATACTGACACGACACAAAAGCACCGGACTGATTCTACAAGACCAGGCGAAGAGGCAAGTCTGAACTCCAGCCTTAGAGTTGAAGACGATGGTACTGCCTCTGAGAAGACTTTTGAAACATCGGAGATTCCAGATTATCTGACTAAGTATTTCACTATAGCTTCCTATGAGCAACGTTATTATTATGAGCAGGAATTTAGAGCTGAATATGGGGAATATCAGGCTTTGCATTCCAAGATTCTGACTTTATCTAGAATATTTCTTGACCTAGATTCGAAAAGAAAGTGCTTTCCTCCAGACTCAAAAGAATATCAGGATACTAATAAGGAAATTGCACGAGAATATAGAAAATTGAGACAGAGGAACCCCTGCTATCAGGCAGAAAAGCAAAGGTGCCTCTATCTGTATAACAAGCTAGTTCACATTAAGAAGTTAGTAAATGATTTTGACCAGCAGCAAATAAATCGAGAGCACTAGAATGGTGCTTGAACTAGCACTTGGACTGAAGCTTATTTATTTAAAATTCCGAGTAACTTTCTCTAAGATTCAAAAGGGTTGGAACTTGTTAGTTGAAATTTTCAACATTCTTTTAATGTTAATTTTTCTCCCACTTTCAACTTTTACTTTTTATTATGTGATTTTCATTTCATTTTATCTTGCTTTTCTGCACTGTCAAATCTGTTTTAACTGGTCCATTAACCCCCAGTACTTGCTTTCACTCCCATTTAAAACTATTGAGGAAACAGTTTCTATGAATCAAAACTGTGCATATATGAAAAATTAAAACCTATAATGAGTAAGAGGAAAGGTTTATGTATAAATATAACCTCTTTTTAGTCATTCTAATTGCAAATATCCTTATAATATGACATTTAGAATTTTTCACAAAATACTGTATTTGAAAGTGTTGCTTGTTTATGTTGGGATTACACAAGGTATGTCATCACATATGTAACAATTACAAAGTAACGTTGACTCACTTGTGTTGTCTTTTCATAATACTGCCCTTTTTTTCTTTTTTCATTTTTGAGAAAACACATTTTTACTTTACATTATAGTCAATGGCTTAATGTTTCAATGAATAAAGAGTTCAACAAAGAGAAAGTAAAAATACCATAGTTCAGCAGAATATAGACCAAAGAATAATCAAAGGAAAAGATGTCAATTTTACTCATATAAAATAAATTTTAAAGTAGTCACAGATCATAAACTATTACAGTATATAATTTGTAACAATTTGTTTGACAACGATTTAAAACAAGCATTGAGGGCACTGTGGCATAGAAGGTTAAGCCTCCATTTATAATGCTGCCACACCCTATGGGTGCTAGTTTGAGTCCTGGCTCTGCTCCATTTCTGATCCAGCTCCCTGATAATGACTTTTGAAAGCAGTGGAAGATAGACCAAGTATGTGGGGCCCTACAACCATATGGGAGACACAGAAGAAGCTCCTGGTTCCTGGCTTCACCCTGGCCCAGCCCCTGCCATTGTGGCCATTTGGGGAGTGAACCAGCAGAAGGAAGATTCTCTCTCTCTCTCTCTTTCTCTCTCTCTCTCTCTTTCTCTTTCTCTCCCCCCTTCTGTTTCTGTATTTCTGCCTTTCAAATAAATAAACTGTAAAAAAATACTAAAAATAAAACAAAGCTTGAGTAGCCAGCATTGTGACGTGGCAGGTAAAGCTGGTAAAGCTGCCACCTGAGACACTGGCATCCCATATGAGTACTGGTTTGTGTCCTGGCTGCTTCCCTTCTGATCTAGCTCTGTGATAATGGCCTGGGAAAGCAGTGGAAGATGGCCCAGGTGCTTGGGCCCCTACCACCCATGTGGGAGACCCAGATGAAGCTCCTGGCTCCTGGCTTTGGCTTGACCCAGCCCTGGTTGTTGCAGTCATCTGGGTAGTGAACCAGCAGATCAAGATTTTCTCTGTGTCTCTGCATCTCTCTATAACTCTGCCGTTCATACAAATAAGTACAACTTTAAAAAATACAACAGGTTTGACAAAACACTATATTTGCAGTGAAACTGACACACAAGATGTTTCTGTTTTTTGTTTTTGATTTAGAAAAACAAAATGTAAAGCATTAGACTTAAAAATCTGCATTTTTGAATGTTTTCTATTGTGTTGTCTTAATAAATATTTATCTCCACTATCTGAAAGAAAATCAGTAAATGGCTAAGAATATAAGTAACAATTAGGAAATGTAATAAGAAAATGTAAACATAGGAATTCACCAACCAGCTTTGAAACTGGGACATTTCCAATATCATTGAAATGGCCTTTGAGCTTTTCCCATCTACCTATGCCCTTGCTTCTTCTAGAGTGCAAAATGCTTCCCAGATTTATTTTTAATCTTTCTCTTACTTCTTGATTTTAACAGTTATGTGAGGGCCACTTCAAAATGTTCATGGAAAATATGAACTATGAAAAACTTTGCATGGGTTTAAGCCAAACTTGTACTGTTATAGTTTATTTATGCTGAAGTGTATAGCTATAGCTCATTCATTTTCTGATTTTAATGTGATCTAAGATAATTTAGTTACCCATTCTTTAGTTTTTAGAATTTGAGTTGCTTTAAGTTTTTGCTATTACAATGTTGATATATATTTTTGTACTTTTTTACCCATTTCCTGTGCTCTAATTTTTATATATTTAAATTTTCTCTCTTTCAAACCCCACAAAACATTTTTATTATATTTGTATGGCCAATTTTTATCTAGCCTCATTGTCTTTTTTTTTTTTTTTTGACAGGCAGAGCTAGTCAGTGAGAAAGTGAGAGACAGAGAGAAAGGTCTTCCTTTTTCCATTGATTCATCCCCCAAATGGCTGCTACTGCTGGCGCGCTGTGCTGATCTGAAGCCAGGAGCCAGGTGCTTCCTCCTGGTCTCCCATGCAGGCTCAGGGCCCAAGCACTTGGGCCATCCTCCACTGCCTTCCCAGGCCACAGCAGAGAGCTGGACTGGAAGAGGAGCAACCTGTACAGAATCCGGCGCCCTGACCGGGACTAGAACCCGGTGTGCCAGCGCCGCAGGCGGAAGATTAGCCAAGTGAGCCTCAGAGCCAGCCCCTCATTGCCTTTTAGGCCTTCCTTTGTTTTCTCATTTCACACTGAAATAATTTTCCTTCTTAAAAAGCTCCCTATATTTTCTTATATCTTTCTGCTGGTAATGAATTTCTTAGCTTTTTTTGTGCATACAATTTTAATTGACTTTTGAAGGGCATGTTAAATAGATTTAGAATTCTATGTTGATAGTTATTTTCTTCTGGTGTTATATAAAATATAATTACACTTTGTTTTGGGTTCTTTATTTTAGTTGAACAATTACCCATAGATATCATTGTTCTTCCTTTGATAATAACATGCTTTGTTTCTCTAGCTGTAGTAGGATTTTGTTCTTGTCTTTTGTTTTCTGGAAAGTTATTAATATGTATCTAGTGCAATTTTTGTTCTTTACTCTGCTTGGGGTTGAGAGTGATTTATTTTTTTAAAATTATTTTATGAGAAAGAAAGTGAGAGAAAGAAATATACAGGTAGTGAGTTTGAAAGACAGACGGAGATTTTGAGTCTTGCTGCTTTACTCTTCACTTCCCAAATGCCTGCAATGGCTAGGGCTGGACAACTGGCCAAAGCCGGGAACCAGGAACTCAATCCTAGCCTAGAATACAATCCTAATCTCTTAGGTGAGTGGTAGGCACTCTACTATTTGTGCCATCACGTGCTCACTCTCAGTGTTCATCAGCAGGAAGCAGGAATTGGACACTCTAAAATATGACATGGGAGTCCCAAGTGGTGTTGTGACAACGATACCAAATGCCTACTCTCAAAATGATTTCTGATACTCCATTAGACTCGGAAAAATCTCTACTCATATTCTACATACTTTATCATTTAATTTCCTGATGATTCTTAAGATCATCTCAATTTTCTATCCTTCTTTCTCCCCATATTTCAATCTATATATTTTCTACTGACCTATATTCTAATTTTCCCATTATTTTTCTTGGTAGTAGGCTGCAAATTTGATCAGAAAAATGTTTCTTTAAATTAGTTTTCAATAAACATATGTGCTTTGTGTCTACAATTCTGAGAACATCACGATACTCCCTTCCACCCTCCCTTTCCTTCCCACTCTCCTTCCTTGTCCCTTTCTTCTCTTTTTTTAGTTTTTGAGAGAACATATTTTAAATGTACATTACAGAGAAAAAGGCTTAATACTTTACCAAATAAGAAGTTTAACAAGTAAAAAGAAAAAAGACCCTAGTTTATTGGGAATGCAGATAATGGCTATAAACAATAATTGAATGGAAAAATGGCCATTGCACCCATATACAGTAAGTTTTAAAGTAATCACAGATCATCAAAACTATACTAAGTATAACATTCTTAACCATTGGTCTCACAAAGGTATAAAAGAAAATTTTACAGAATTATATTTGCAACAAACTGATACACAGAAACATTTTTTTTAAAACTTCAGCTCCCACATATAAGGGAGAACATGTGGTATTTGTCTTTCTGGGTCCAGCATGTTTCACTCAACATGATGTCCTCCAGTTGCGTCCATTTTGCTGCAAATGATAGAATCCCATTCTTTTTCATAGATGCATAATATTCCAGTGTGTGTGTGTGTGTGTGTGTGTGTGTATCACATTTTCTTTATCCATTCATCTGCTGATGGACATGTTGGTTGATTCCATATTTTGGCCATTGTGAACAGTGCTGCCATACACTTGGTGGTTCAGATATCTCTTTGATACATTGTATTCAAGTCTTTTGGATGTATACACAGTATTGGGTGTATATACAGTAGTGGGATTGCTGGATCATATGGGAAGTCTATTTCTAGTTTTTTAAAGACATTTCCACACCAATTTCCACAGTGTCCACACTAATTTACATTCCCACCAGTGTATAAGTGTCCCCCTTTCTCAACATCCTCACCAGCATGTCTTACTCTCTGTGTTTCGGATTTTAGGCATTCTTAGAGGGGTGAGGTGATATCTCATTCTAGTTTTGATTTGCATCTCCCTTATGGATAGTGATGTTGAGCTCTTTATAGTTAATTTTGTAATAATTCAGATTGGTGGTACAGAGATAGGAAATGGGAGACAAAGATGTTAGGTATAAATACAATCTGAAAATGTCAATAGATAATATACCAAAGAAATGATGTTTAAAATCACTGCTTGAAAAGAAAAAGCTCTTGATTTAGTGATTTTATTTCTGTTAGTGTCACAAATAATTTTTTGAAAAACAAAGCAAATTCATCTTAAATGTATTTAGAATAATACAACCTAATACCTGTATGACAGCACATTAGATTATGCACAGGAAAACTGACAGACACAATTTTGTTTGGGGGAGCGGCTAGTTATGGGGAAAAGCTAAGGTCTGACATTCCAGCTCACCCTGCCCAACAGGAATGGGTTGGTGATTGATAGCTCCAGCAGAGCTGGGCTTTGGCGCTTGGGGCAGAACTGCGATCTGATAGCCCCAGTCAAACCTCCC